CCCGGGCTCGAGAACGGTGGTGACGTCTTCACGCAGCTCCACCTCTGGGAACAAGAACGGAAAGAAGAACATCCAGAGACACACTTAATTCGGAGTTCAAGCTACGAATTGCACAAATTCCAATGCGCCCGTTTAAGCAAACACGTGAACTTGAAAGTCATCCTTCATACAGAAACCTAAGATTTCATCATTTTAATACAGCAAATGGATTAAAAACGCGTGACCACATACTATTCATAAAGAAAATCATATAGTTGTGCATTTGACAATCATATGCTCATTTTAATTTTGCATTATTACGTCCAAATTTCAGTCTCCCACGACAAAGGAAAATGCCGAATTTGAATCCCAACGGAACATTTGAAGAAAAAAAAGAGAAGAACATCTGACCAGATTCCCTGCCGAAGTAGTGACACAAGGTGCCGAATGAGTGTCCGTAGCCGAAGGTATGGTACTGCAGCAGCCCGTGTTGCCGGTACATCTCGTTCAGCTCGGTGGCGATGTCACAGCAACGCGCTCCCGGGCGGACCAGCTCCAGGCCCCGCCGGTGGACCTGGAGTCACAGCGGTGGGAACAGTACAGACGGGTGAGACTCAGTATAGTTTAAAACTTAGAGATCGCTGTTAGCTACGGCAAAGAGATATTCACATAGATCATGTTTTCGAGAATGTAACCAATGGTAACATAAATTTCAACGTTATTCGGGTTTCCCAGTCTCCATTCACTCTATACGTTTAAACTTTCTGTAAAGAACTTAAAGAAGAGTATAGTCTAAAACTTAAGAGATCAACTTTTGTAATCGCTGTGAGCTACAACAAAGAGATATTCACATACATGTAGATCATGGTTTCGAGAATGTAACCAATGATAACATCAATTTCAACGTTATTCGGGTTTCCCAGTTTTCATTTTACGCTATCCGTTTAAACTTCTGTAAAGTTCCGTGTAAACTTAGCCTGGTATCCAGTCTGATTCGTGTTCGGGCCGAAAGAGCTCTGTCCCGCCCGCCTCACTTAGGTTTCCGGCCGGTGTGTATTTCACGAGAGATTGATTAGCCCTCCACGAACATATCGTGTTGGGGGAAACCAAATCACCAAGCATACTGTCTCTTATTAGCGTAACACTCCTACCGGGACGGCCTGTTGCACTAGGCGGGGGAAGCTATTAGAGCCCCCGAAGGTACAACCTGCCCGAACACCCCAATACCCCCAATCACGTAATTAACAAGACTGGATACCAGGCTAGTGTATACTTAAAGAAGAGTCTTACCTGACAGTTGATCTCCCAGAGAGCGAGGTGAGCGTCTGAGGCGTGGTTCAGGAACATGGTCCTCTCCAGGGCGGCGTAGTACCTGGGATGTAAGGACGGAGATGCCAACAGGATTTAGTTAATATCAACAGTTTGTTTAAACGTCAATGTTTAAACTTGATCGCCCATGAATATGATCTGATTATGCGTGCATTATAGTCATAGTAAAAACCATAGTCAATAGTACAAACACTCTATAGCCAAGCCTGTAAGGCTACACCAATTTAATTTGTTGTTTGTAGGATTTTTTCTTCAGAAAAA